TGAGTGAAAGATATAGTGCTTGTCAGGGATAACACAATGACATCTTTCTGATATAAATTGCTAATAATAGTGTGTAATATACCATAAGAAGCAGAATTGAAACCAACACATCCTGTCCACAGGTTAACTGTCTAGAAAGGACATACAGAAGAGTAGGGAAAGAGAGAAACTGGAGGAATAGGTTCAGTATTAAAAAATAAGACTTCAGTTTGAAAAAGCAGAGGCAAACAAGATAACAGTGGTGCCTCGCAAGACGATTTCAATTCGTTCCGCAAAAATCGTTGTCTTGTGAAAAAATTGTCTTGCGAGGTTCCCTATGCATTGGTCTAAAAAAAAGTCTTGCAAAGCATCCGTTTGAAAAAAAAGTCTTGCATAGCATTGGTAAAAAAAGAAATCTTGTGAAGCACGGTTATAGAAAAAAAGTCTTGTGAGGCACCATAGTGATCGCAAAAACCAATCGTCTTGCGGGTTTTTCATCCCATGAGGCAGTCTAGCGAGGCACCACTGTACTGGATTTAGCCTGAAATGTTTGATTAATATGTGTCTTTATTTTTTAAATGGGATGTTCTGGGGCAGTTGCCTTTGAATGCTGGTCTTCAGTTGGTAAATTGAATTGATATTATCTGAAGATAGTACTCTAGCCCATGTTGTGTCCAGAAGTTGTAAAAGTTACTGTTTTAGATGATTGGCAGAGGCATTCTGAGAGCAGTCCAAAAAAATAACTAAAAACCCTAGTTACACTTGTGTCATTCTCTTTTGGCACTGTCACTGTTTTTTGGTGGTGAGGGGAGAGGTTGGATTTCTGACTGAGGGACAGCAAGAGATGGAAAGAGCTCAGATGCTAAGATAATAGGTATCTTCAGTCATTGTGTAAAATAATAAAGTTTAGACAATTGCCTTTTATAATAAGCTGCAATTTTCTGCATAACTAGTAAAATATATAAAGCACTTCTGCTTCTTTTAGAGAGAAAATGAAAAATAAGCATATGTTGTAAAATATTTTTAGTGTGTCCCATGTTAGCTGAAATCCTGCTGCTTAGTGTAATAAGTTCCAACTAAGTTCAATCCTTTGAATCAATGGAATTTCTGGAGGCGTTGACTTACCAAATCCCCATTGATTGAGCCAACTCTAGTTGCAACAAGATTTCCGGAATTGCATTGGAAGTGTAATGTGTAATCGTAATTATCTCTATAAAGACATTGAATTCAGTGGGCTTTACATTGTTATAGCACAGTGAAAAATTGAGATACTTTGTTTTGGAAGACTCTGAGACCATGATCTCTCTTTCTATTCTGGGCTGTAGAATTTTTAAATTAGTAGATTTAATATTATTGGTTTTGCAGTTGCTTTTTATCTATTGATTTACTGTAAAATTACAGGTTGATTTTACATAATTAGAGTGCAAATAGAGTTCCATTGATCAGTTAATTTGATGCTAAAATGTGGAAAGAATGCTCTTGGTTGTTTACAGCAAACATTCAATCTTGGCAAAGTGTTAAAAGATGTATGACAATTATAAAAGATAATAGATCTGTTCTAAATGTTTACAACTGTTGTAGAAAGCAATTATCAAAGTCCAGTGCTATGGTTTTGTGGGAAGGCAATGGGAGAAATAAAGAGTAAAGGCTAAAAAATTTTTAAAACGTGTGGATATTATTAGAATGAATTGTCAATTCAAATTAAATGCAGTGTCCAGATCAACGTATTATGGAAAATTAACCCATAGATAGTGAGGATATATATAATAAGTTTCATTGCAAATATGTGTATTTAAAAGATGGTATATCTAAGAAAAGGGACGTGGTGGCGCTGCGAGCTAAACTCAGAAGCCTGTGCTGCAGGGTCAGAAAACCAGCAGTCGTACGATCGAATCCACGTGACAGAGTGAGCTCCTGTCGCTTTGTCCCAGCTTCTCGCCAACCTAGCAGTTCCAAAGCATGTAAATGCGAGTAGATAAATAGGTACCATCTCAGTGCGAAGGTAAAACAGCGTTCCCTAGTCACGCTGGCCACATGACAATGGAAACTGTCTTCAGACAAGCGCTGGCTCTATGGCTTGAAAAACGGAATGAGCACCGCTCCCTAGAGTCGAACACGACTGGACTAAAAAATGTCAATGGGTACCTTTACCTATATCTAAGAAAACCACAGATTATCTAAATGCATTGGTCTACGAAAACAAAATAAAACTGAAATCCATAGGCAGTTAAGAAACAAATATATTTCACCTAAGGCAAGACTGCAACCAGCCTTGTAGATGCAGATGCACCTTTTGTTCTTTGTTCCAGTATAAATTACCAGATAATAGTCTGGTCCATGCACATGTACCAGTGACCCATTCAGTCTGAAATATCCATCTTGAGACACTAGAGCAGGAGTCCCCAATCCCAGGCTGAGTCCATAGCCTTGGCAGGACCAGGCCATGGAGACAGATCTCCAGCATGCACAGATGCATGCATGCCCCCCCGCACAGATGCACACATCCCCACGCACGTACAGATGCATGCACGCCCCCCACATGCATGGACGCACACACAGTCCCCCCATGCACGCACGCACACACACACACACACACTGATGCATGCACACCCTTCCCCCGCATGCATGCAAGGACGCTAAACCGGTCCGTGGTGTCAAAAACGTTGGGGGCCACTGTGCTGGAGGAACAAACCAGAACTGTATTTGCCCAAATGTTTGGAATTCTCTGTTTTCTTTACCTCAGTTTCCTGTGACACCTAGTGACAAAATCCTGGAGAACCTGAAAACCTACATACTTTCATGGAATTTTATTTGGTCTTGTTAACATGTTGCCTGCCTGCCTGCCTGCCTGTATTTTTACGCAGAATGATCTAGAAATCTCTTCCTTGAAGGCTCAAAATATATTTTCTTCATTTGTATATTCCTAGATGAAGTTTTGGAATGAGTTTATTGTTGACAAAAACCTCTTTTGTCTTTAACATATTTGTCTATCACAAAAAAGATACACAGGTGTGAATTTACAAAGTAAGGACAATCTAGTTAGTTACCAAAGTACAGTATATATAGCCCTTAGGGGAAAAGAAGTAACATTTGAAGTGTCAGTAATAAGGTATAAAATTTCCATAAATGTTGAATCCATGGTATAAGGGGTAGTAGAATTTAGGGTTTCTAAGCTTCATTTTGAGGGACATGGTGACGCTGCAGGCTAAACCGCAGAAGCCTGTGCTACAGGGTCAGAAGACCAAGCAGTCGTAAGATCGAATCCACGCAACGGAGTGAGCTCCCGTCGCTTGTCCCAGCTCCCGCCAACCTAGCGGTTTGAAAGCATGCAAATGCAAATAGATAAATAGGGACCACTTCGGTGGGAAGGTAACAGCGTTCCGTGTCTAAGTCGCACTGGCCATGTGACCACGGAGGATTGTCTTCGGACAAAACGCTGGCTCTATGGCTTGGAAACGGGGATGAGCACCGCCCCCTAGAGTCGAACACGACTGGACAAAAATTGTCAAGGGGAACCTTTACCTTTACCTTTAAGCTTCATTTTGGGAATAAAGTTTCATTTTGGAAAGAAACAGAATGTCTGTGGAAAACTGAAAACATATACATTTATTAGTTTCTTATCTGTTCTAAATGTACTTTACTATTTTATTGTACAGTATTTTAAATGTTTAATATTTATGCTTTTTACTGGGTCCTCACATCTCTTGTTGGCAGAATAAAGGTGGGGAACATTGGTGGTGACCTTTCTGGAAGACATTTTATACCAAGGATATCATTTCAAAGATACCTTAGGGTCTGTTGATTGTGTGCTAAGCCAGATAGTAATTTAATTAACTTTTTCGGTGCAGTCTTTTTATGTCTATAGATCACATGTTGTTCAAGGTTTAAAATACTAGCATCGCTTCTTAATTCCACCTGTGCTCCATTTTGTTTCCTGATTTTGTTTTTTCTGTGTTATCATGCCAAGCTGCTAGATATCCCAGCAGCTGTATGTATGACTCCATTATCTTCAATGGATTCTTTACTTCTGTGTCTTTGTTTAATGTTAAGGTCCTTTATGCCTGCCTTTGCATTCTTCTTAAAACCTAAAGAATATATACTGAGAGAGATATTTGGCCATCTTTTCAGTTGATTGTTTGGAAAGGCACATTTGGATTAAATAACCTTGGTAGACATCATACTATTCACAGGAAGAGCTGAGTAGTGCATGCTTCTTATTCATTGACACATATATATATCTCAGAGAGAGATGAAGGTTGGACCATCCTCTATTTGTGTGTATTTGTGGTTGCTATGGTGACTGTTATATTGGTGAATGTATATTCTTGATCTTGCCCTAAGAGTGGAGAGTCAAGAATGAATATAGCCCTTGGCTGTCACCCCACCATACAACGAGAACTTCCATAATATTTCTGAACATTACAAAGATTTAGATGTGTGCTTTCTATATTTTGCTTGTTAATATGTTTTAGGTTTTAGAGGAAAACTAGAATCTATCTATCTATCTATCTATCTATCTATCTATCTATCTATCTATCTATCTATCTATCTATCTATCTATCTATCTATCTATCTATCTATCTATCTATCTATCTATCTATCTATCTATC